ACGTTCCCAACACGAGCAGGTGGTATGTATGTTTTGTTCTTTCTGCCTGTCTTTGTTCTTTTCTCGTTTCCATTGAGCCCCCAGATGCCCGCAGGACGTATATATTTTATCTCATTTAAGCCCGGCCTAGTATATTCCCTGAGTGCGATACTGGAAAGTGTCATATCTGCGTCGCTGTTAGTTCCCAAATATACGCAGCGGGGTTGGGATGGGGGTTCACGAACAATCGTGTGTAGTAACTACCAAAGGACTTGGCGATCAAATCCGTTTCGACGAAATTCTCTGCCTCGTCGGCGCTGAGGTGCAGCTGGAAACGCTGCCGTAATGTGTTTGTGGTCTGCAGCACGCCCGCGTTGAAGCAGGGCATCTTTGAGTCCCGACCCATAATGGCAACGAGATCAATGATATTGTCTGCGGATCGTCGCAGAGCTAGTTCACGGTACTGTTAGATTCTTTGCCGCCAGGGTACACGTGCAGTGCTAGACTAAAGGGAACAACATACCTTGGAATGCTTGCTTGCAAAGCTTCTTATAATCGTCGTAATCCTGAGATCCCAAACCACCCAAAACATCAACGTACTCGTGAGTCAGCTTGAAAGGAGCTGCCTCGAAACCAACAGAACCAGGAGAATTGGAGAGCATGAAACCAAAGTCGATGTGGACAATGTGGCCTTCGTTGTCGATCAGCACGTTACCGTTATGTCGGTCCTTGAGCTGGAACACATAGGAGAAGATGGAGTAGGCAGCCAGAGACCGTTTGAACGCCTCCACACCGGCTCTGTGCGGCTCGCTCTCCGTCGGGCCAAAAGCCTTTACGAAGTGGTCCTTCAGGGTGGCGATGCGATGGCGGGGGTTTTGACCAGACTCGATAGATGCGAGGGTGAGAGATCGCTTCAACGAGTGCAAGGAGACACCGCTGGTGATGGTCTCAACCAGACCGGAAGACTCTCCCGTGACCAAAATACGCATGAGTTTGATCCACACGTCGGACTCGGCATCAACCCAAATCTTGTGGCACACGTTAATCAGCTGGCAGGCGAACGCCTCCTGTCGCAAATCGGCACCCGTCTTCACAATCACGCTGACGAGATCCCAGTTCTTCATCCAGCCGTACGGGGACGCCTTGCGGATACGCTCCTTCTTCGCCTCCCATGCTTCACCAAAGACAGCCGCACTGGGGTCATCGCGATCGCCGCGGCGCTGGACACCACCAGTCCTGATGTCGTTCTCCATCCGCTCCCGACCTGCGCTCGCGTTCAGATTCGTGTCAATAGTGCTGTCCTCCTCCAAATCAGGATTGTCAACTGGCGAGTTCAAGGCTGAATTCTTGGCAATGATGGTGTCGAAAGTCGGCCCCTCGTCCATTTCAAAACTCTGCTCCTCCAGGCTCTGCATGCTCGCAATAATCTTGGCTCGGATCGCGGCCACCTCGTGCTTGGGCCGCTTCCCGCTCGTAGCCTCAAGCTGAGCTAGCATCTGCGACGCCGTTCGCATATGCGTGGCCAGAGCCGAGAAATCTGGCTGGTCGGCTGCCACAGTGCGGGGTGGTGGCTGGTTCAGCGTCATCTTACGGGAGTGCCCAGGACTGTTCGATCTGGTCGACGAATGGCCCGAATTCCTGGGAGTGAGCGGCTCCAAATTCGTTGACGCCATGGCGGCGGCAGCGCTGGGAATTCGCAACTGGCTGGGTTGCGGTTTACCATATTTGGGGGGCGGAGGCACCGGCTCCTCTACGTAAGACTTGATGTAGCCCGAGCTCCCCAGATCACCAGAGGTTGGTTCGAACACGCTGTCGAGAACTGGCTGTTCCGGGGGCGGGGCAACCTGAGCAGTTATTCTGGGGGAATCCGAGGTCAGGTCAAACAGTCGTTTGTTGTTCGTGTCCGGGTTGAGCAGTGTCGTGAGCAATCTCTGGTTGTCGGCAGTGTCGGGGTTGAAAGTGAAGTCATCTCTGAGCACCTCAGCCATCATGAGATATGGCACCTTCTCAGCGCTGTTGAGCACAGTCGACTCAGCAGGGTTCAGGCGCACAATTCTATGGTGACAGCTCTTCCCTGGGGAGCCATTCACCAACGTAGGCGGGCAAATAACGGGAATGTCCACCTCGGCCGGCAGGTCCTGGGAGATGAGGGCCAGCTCGGCTCGCAAGGCGCTCAGGCGGGCCTGTTTAGGTACGGCGACCAACCGATTCGAGATGCCCTCCAAGGCAGTGAGGAACGCCGTCTGCGACCGAAAGTAATGTTGCCTCAGGAGCCTCACCTTTTGCTCGGATGACAAATCGCTCGAGGTAAGGGGAGGTTTGGTCTGGTGCGAATGTCTGCGGCGGATGCTGTCCCCTGGGCGCTGGGTCAAGTCTTTGGTCACCGGAGTCACAGGTCGGCTGGCAGTGGTTTTGGTCGAGGGGAGAGGGAGCGAAGCGGAGCTCAGCTTGGCCTCCAGGGACTTCATCTCCATAGCTGAAGGCCGCTCTGTGGTGGGTTTGGCTTCCCGGTTCGCCTTGGATTTGGGGCTCGTGTGGGAGTGGTTCGCTTTCGATCTTAATGCACCGTCGTCAGGTGCGCTCGTCGTCCTGTTGGGATCCTTAGTACGTCGAGACCGTGTGCTCGTGGGCGTGACCGTGTGGGCCCTCGTCGGCTTGACATTGACGTGCTCCTTCTCCTTCGTCTCGAGGTCAAGATCATTGTCGGCGGGCTGGGGCTTTCGAGCCTGTGCCACGGCCAGAGGACCAGCCCATTGTGGCAGCATTGGCAGGGCGACACTGGCGAGGACGAAGCTGGAGAGGACGGTAACGGGAAGAACATTTTCCTTGATTCGGTCATGTCGCGCGGTATCAGCCAGACCAAAAACAATATGCTGGACCTTGTTGTACACTCGTCGGCAGATCTGGAAGGAGCTCGATTGCGGATTCGAGGAGAGGTCGTGTAAATAGGTCTGAAAGAGCCAGAAAGTCTGCGTCCATAGAAAAAAATGGTCACCTCAAGTTAGATTTGTCCACGCTGTCTATAGCTCATTATTTCGCGGGGGGGTTGGCAAGCACGGCATCTACTTGCGAACAGAGGAAGAGGTCGGACAAAAACGCACCAGAAGCGCAGCTGTTACTGACTCTTCGCACAGATCCAGCAGGAACTCCTCCAAGGCCATTGACTCATTGTCAACGCTTATTATAAGATGGCAGAGCTGTGGGAGGAAGAATTCGATGTCCTCGTAGGGGAACTGTCGCAGCTTGTTGCAGAGGACATAGTGAATGCCCACATGGTCGGCATAGCGGCTACGGCAAGGAATTCCCAATTAGCGACCTGGCAATTCACGAGGGGGGGCGCGGTGCAGCAGCCCAGGCGGTGGTGCGACGGGCGGCGGCCTGGACATGGAGCGAGGCGGTCGGAGCTGGGAGAGGGACTCACGAGAGATAGGAGACGGGGAGGAAGGGATTCGAATTGAAGACGTCGGATTCGATGAATCGTTGCAGCAAGTCCCACGACATTGGGCCACCTGTGCGCGCCGCGGCGGGAGGACGGTAGACGGGGGGCGGGAAGAAGAGACGGGGACGGAGACAAGAAGAGGATCGATATTCAAGGTCTGGGTTGGTGGTGACGGCGGCGGCGGAGGCGGTAGTAGTCCGTCATCTAGGAGGTCGGGTGGGATAGTGGAGCAACGGGAATCAGATGGAACATGGCGACGAGGAACGGCTGGGGGAGGAGGGGTCGAGTCGAGGCCAACTAGACGCAGCGGGAGAATTGAGACGGGCCTGACCAGATGAGCCGCCCTGGAGGTGCAGGCAGACGATCGATAGGGGCGGGATATGGCTGGTGGACGAGAGATGTGTTCAGATGAAATGGGTTTTTCATTTTAGGTTGCTGCCACTATTACTACGTCGACTCGTAATTTGCCTACCTCCATTGAAGACGGTGAGCGACCAGCAGCAGCCCTCTGAGTGACCGTTAAGCTTCAGGAGGACCCCAGAGGCTAGAGTGACGGAACGTGCTGCTAGGCGCTGCTCAGCTGCTACAGCCAGCTGGCGGCCCTTATTTTTAGGCGGCCCAGTCCCCACCACACCTGCTCCACAGGGTCCACGGGATTCAGTCGGGATATTTCATTAGGGGACGAGCGAACCATTGAGGTCCCAACGATGCCACTGGAAGAATGCCGTCCCAATCTCCCTCCCATGCACACCAATTTTGACGCCAAGAAGAGGCGGTGCGTGGCGGCCCTTTTTTTTTTCTCTTTCCCTAGGAGAAAAGGAGTTGAGGGGAGATAGATGGTCGGGGAGAAGGTTCTGTGATGAGCTTGGCTCCAAGAGGCCTCAGAAAATGACTGGCCCTTGATGCGTCATCGTTTTTCCTCTTCTATATCACGTCACGCACGAAAATGCCACCTCAGCATCATGGCCAATTCATTACATTGCGCAAGGGTCCATCCTCTTTTTTTTTTTTCTCCCCTCGCCGGGATCGTCAGCCGAGTTAGGCAAGTGGATGCTAGTGATGATGAGGGACAGGTGAGAGTTCAGCAACAGTGAAGTAAAAACTTGCAAGTCAAGACCACAATGGCATCACTTTTTAGAAAGGTAACCAGGAACCAGCACAAGAGTATGAAGAGTAAAGCACCGCATGTAGCAGCGTCGATATATTCCGGGCAAGGCCTTTTGACCCGCCCAGCATCTTCGGCCCGGAAGCCTACCAGGACCACCATCGGTCCATCTACAATGCAATTCCAAGATGGCCATCTTCGCACCAGAATGTCCAACCTCCCTGATCAAATGGGAGAAGTCCAAATAGAGGGACACATGACCAGCCAGAACGCCACAACAATGCTGCTAATATATGTATATGTAAAAGATCCCTTCAATTCATTGCACAACGCCGTGAGGTCGACTCCATGTGCTGGTTTCCGTCGAATAATCAAGCCTTCCCGCCTCTAATCCACACCATGCGCCCGGCAGAAACACGAAACATTGTAAAAAAAAAAAATCAGGCCCAGATCCCTTCCTTTTGCCATCTCCCAACTTTAAACCGACCCCTTCTTCCTGCGACCGCCCCGACCTTTCTTCTTGGGCTCGAACGCGTCCTCGTCGCTCTCGCTCTCGCCCTTGGTCGGCTTGGGCTTGCCCTCCTTCTCGTTCTCCACCTTGCCGACGATCTCGCGCAGGAAATCCCACTGGTCGTCCCTCTCCACGACCTGCTTGAGCATGGACGCTGTGACGCGCTTGGAGCCCTTGTCCTTGGCGATGTCGGCGCTCGTGCTGACGAGCTGGACCATGAAGAGCTCGAGGGCCTTGCCGACGGCGATGGGGGTCTGCTGCGCGACCTTGCCGACCTCCTCGTCGGCCTGCATGATCCGCTTTATTCTGGCCGTGGGGAACTTTGTCCGCACGGGGGACGGCTCGATGATGGGTTCTTCGATGACGGCCGCGGCCGCTGCTGCCCTTCGTGGAGGCATTTGTGTCTGGAGGTGCAGGGCCTGCTGCGGAGGGGCGCCAACGGGTACAGCGGTGGCGTGCGGGAGGTGGTGAAGCTCGGCTGTCACGGGAGGGTGGTTTGGCTGCTCTGGGTGCGGCTGCGCATACAATGGCGTCGGCTCAAAGCTTCGAGGCTGATGGTGATGCCCGTATGCAGCTATATGATTGGGGTACGAGCTTGGCGAGAGCTGCTGCGGGAGCTGCGAGAACTGGCGCTGCTGCTGCTGGGGCTGCTGCTGCAGGTGCTGGGGCTGGGGGCGGTGGTGCGCCGGAATGTATGCGATGTTTTCAGTGTAGTGGGGATGTGCAGAGGAGGGAGAAGCAACAGCTGGGTCGGGTGGCACGTAGGCCGAGTTGACACTGTAGGAGTGCGGTTGGGGTTGGGGATAGTAGGACGGCTGGTGGTGGTGGTGGTGGTGATGGGCTTGATGAAAGTTTTGGCTCTGGCTGAGTGAGAACGGCGGCGGGGCGGGGGGCTGGTCCGTGGGGGCTGCCGAGAAGAGCGCTGAGAGATCCGGCGACTTTGGTGCGTAGGAAGAGGATTCGTCCGCCGACATGGTCCTGAGACGCAGCGCTGGCCTGGCTTCTTATCCTCCTACCGGGCGGCTAATCAGATCAAGGCCGATACCTAGCACAATAAAAAAATAATTTCAAAAAATAAACCACCAATAAAGAGGGGCTGGGGCGCGTTTCCACACGCGGTTAATCACCCCGAAAGGTCACTTTCTTAGCTGGGGGGCCTGTGATGCCAGGAATTGACACTCAAGGGGCCGCTCCGGACCAGACCACAGCAGATTCAGTACACGCAACTTGTGCTGCTTGCACTGTCTTCTCAACCTTTCTTCCTCTTGCTGCTGGCGGAGGCTGGTCAAGGGATGGCCGGTGTAGACAGCTCCCAGGGTTGGTGGAGCCCGGTGGTGGTGAGGCAAGGGTGATGGATTGATGTGATGATATCCACCTGGCATACAAACAAAGCAGCCAGGGGCCACTTTTTCTTCTTCTCGATTTCTTTCCCTGCTTCTGGAACAGATCGGACGGTGCGCCGTGACTTGCAGAAGCCACAGGAGAACAGGCAGATGCAGCTTGGTGCTCACAGAGATGGTGCGGTCCGACAACGCGTGGTGGCAGACAGGGTAAGGATGGGTAATTGTAGTAGTCTGGTAGAATAGGGAGGGGCAGGAATGGAAGGTGAGTGGTCTCTACTAATACTCGGCGTGGTTTCGTCCTGGATGTTCTGATCCGGAGGTAGGCCACCTCTCAACGCTGAGGAGGTGCAGGCAATGGTAGCCACCAAACACGGCACATGCGCCAATGCCACTTCACTAGAGATGAAGATGGGCGGTGAATGTGGATGAGGTGAATGCGGGTGGTGAGGGGCAGCGGGCTTGTTGTACCTGACTCACTGCAACAAGGGCACTCTACTCTTGGTACAGACTGAAACGCAGGTACACGTAGATAGGTGCCTTTTACAGGCGAGAGAGACGTCCTGGAACTCGAGTAGTATGTAGGTACTATGCTCGATGAAATAGATCAAGGTACCAGACCAAGTCTTGCAGCAGGACAGGTCACACTTGTGTCACTGCAGGAGGTAGATGCGGAGCACAGCACGTTCCCTGGTATGTTCTTCTTTGAGCTGATCTCAATCTCAATGTCACCGTCTTTCAGACCAAACGGTTCTTCTGTGCTTCCTCCCGTGCCGTATGACTAGCTCGCAAATGCAATCAATCAACGGATAGATGATGCAAGCAGCGAGCAAGGGCGTGTGCCAAGCTTTTTTCGATGTTGAGCACAGACCAGGCCACAGACGCCGGGCGAATGGCAAGAGAGATACGCGGTATGGCAGGATGGTTCACTCAACACCAAGCGACCAGTCACAGCGAACCTGCCTGCTGTTCCTCGTGTATTCTTGCTCGCTAGGGGAGGGGAGGGGAGGGGTATAATAGACTCGGAGCGTAAAAAAAGACCAGCAGAGCGCAAGGGCTGGCTGCCGATTGGACGGGGTGAGGCTGAGTAATGGGGGCCTGTCGATGGGAGACAATGACGACGACGAGCTTCGACTAGGGAGCTTTCCCCTCAGCGACGGCCGACCAAAGCGGGTGGGATGACGGGACGTTTATATGCGCGGCCAGCAGTTAGCGGTCGTCAATCACCAGGGACCCAATAAGCTGCCGCGACGATTTGCCTCCCACCTCGGAAACGCGACCTGTCCCGATCGGGCAGGGGGGTCTGTCCATCAACAATCAGCGGCACGCGTTTGGCTTTGACCTGCCGCTGGGAGTGGTCTGTATGGGCGGCGAGGTAGCATGTATCTGCACAGGCTGCCGTTGCAGATGGGGCGTGTGGGAGAGGCTGAACGGAAGGCAGCAACAGGCAGCCAGCTGGCGATCCATACTGGCAGACGCCGGCATGCACACATCCTACATTGCCCACATAATTTCAGTACCGTACCGAGAGCTGAGCTGCATGCCTGAGCTGCCAGCTCATCAGCCCAGCCAGCCAGCTATTGGCCACGGATGATGGCTCGGAGCGGTTCTTCGCTTCGGTGCTCACTTGCAGCAGCGGATGGACGCCTCGCCCGATTCATGCCGCGCTCTGCTGCATCCGAGTTCTATTGCGGCTCGAAGCTTAACGGTATTACATGAGAGCTGACGCGGATTAGCTAATGCAGCCAAGCGGCCTTGAATCAGGGCTTGCATCCATCTGCACGGCTCTTGCCTCAAGCGTCGCCATCCATAAAGTTCACAGCTGTACCTAAAATTAAACGGGCAATGATGACTCATCAACACCTCGTACACCACGCCCCTCCTAAAGTTGCCTCGAGTCGAAAGCGGGAACATTTCTGGAACGCCTTGATCAATGCTGAATATTCTTCCCCTTCACCTCACTTCCCTTCCCTTCCCTTGCCGCTGGCAATGCATCCACGCTGCCGCCCGGCCACCGCTCGCTTCCAATTTATCGGCCCTCACTCCCGCCCGCCCTTTGAAATGTTTCATTAAATTGCCTACCTTCCGATTTGATGTTTGCTTCTGCCGGCAGGGTCAGAAGGCGACGTGTTGTTGCGCGCCATCAAACTTTGGCGTGCTCCTTCGGGCTTCAGGTCGACAGGCATCAGCGAAAATAGACTCAAGCAAGGCGACAATATTGTCCGCTGACCCCTGAAAGGTATTGTCAATATGCCTTGCGTGCTTTTTTTTTACCCCTCCATCCATCACCATCTTCTCTTCCTGATGATAGAAATTCAATGAGCTTTATAAACTTGGAGTTGGCCTGGGTGGAGCGATGAGAACCGAGCTCTGGTGCATGCGCCATCTAGGGGTCTCATCGCACTGCTCGCAAAGGGCTATTCAATGACTAAATTTGAAACTTGATCTAATCTGACTTCTCCCCCATATCCTGCCCCTCTACCTTGCCCGACATCCGCTGCTTCACCTCTCTAACAAGCGTCTGCAGGCCCGCCAATCTCCTCTCCGTGTAGCTTGATAGGAACAGGGACACCACCGGCCATGCGTGGATCCCCGCCGGGATGTTGAGGCTCCCAATCTCGATGCCCATCTTCGTTTGCTGCCTGACAAAGTCCTCAATGTTCGGCGCAAACACTTCATCCTCCCCGTAGATGACGTAGTACCCCCCTCCCGGGCTTGCCGCCCTCCAAACATCTCGGTCCACGCACGACCCTGGGGACGCGGGGTGCTGGTGAATCATCGCGTCCCCCGCGTACTCATGGGCATACTTCCACAGCGACTCCCGGTCGAGGTAGTCTGTCGGTGACGGACTGTGCAGGTGAGTCATGAGTGTCACCCAGGGTGAAATGAGCGTGGCCAGTTGCGGGAGGGGCAACGTCGTAGACAGCTCCTGGGACAGGCGCCCATTAGACGACGGCGTTCCTGCAGTAGCGTTCTCGTTCTTGCCACCCTGCGCACCAAGTTCCTGCAGGAGGCTCAAGACCAACGCTCCGCCTGCGGAGTCCCCGGCCACGCACACCTTGGAGGGTTCGCCGGCCGTCTTCAAGACCAACTTGTAGCCCCAAGTTACCTCATTGAGTTGCCTGGGATAAACATCATCCGGGACCAAAGTGTAGTCGAGGGCGAAGATCGCCGGGTTCCGGTACCCCGCCTCAACAAGCAGATGGTGCCAGGCGAGGAGGAACTCAAGGTAGAACGCAGCCGATCCCAGGGAAAACCCACCCCCTAGCCACATGTCAGTTCCAATTCCCCAGAAGGAAGTTGCACTCTGCCCATACCATGAATGTAGTAGAGGACGAAATCAGGAGGGTGCTCTGGCCTATGCTTGATCCACAGGCCGCTGAAGCTCTCGTTCCCCTTTGCAGCTTGTCAGCCTTTTACCGTGCATGAGGGGAGGGGGGTTAAAACTCAAAAACTCACATGTCCATACCGCTCCTCCTTCCAGTACACCGGGCTCCTGACGTACCCGTGCCTCAGCATACGCCAGCGCAGGAAGGGCAGGGCGACCCATTTGTCGAAGAAGACGCGGCTGACGCTGGAGGGGATGGACTGGAAGGCGTAGCGGACGCACCGCACCACGAGGTCCTCGAAGAGCGTGGCCGTCTGCACGAACCCCGGCTTCAGGGGCGTGGGTGTGTAGTAGCGCTCCTGGATCAGCTGCACGGGGAGCTGGAAGACTGTTTTTCGGGATGGACATAGGGTCAGTTACCAATACGGGGAGGGGGGGAGGTGGATGAAGAGAGACGCTTTCCGGAACCTACTGAGGAAGGGGAGCGCCTTGGCGGCGACGTGGACGGTTTGGAAGAGGCCTACTTGGAGGAGGAGCTGGGGTGCCAGGAAGACGAGGAAGACGAGGCAGTCTAGGAGAGTGACGGGGCCGAGGATCATGATGTGGTTTGCGGGGGGTAATGAATGCCGGGGGGGAAGAACAACGAAAATCAAGCACCGAAAGCACGCCTGCGAGCTCACGACCAGTCTAAGAAGCCACCAATTTTATTTCCGGGCAGTTCGGTATCTCTGAGTAAAACATAACGTATGTGGGAAAGAGGAAATCCTAGAATTGACATCGAGAGACGTTTCGGAGGGCTAGGCCGGCGTATACCAGGGAGGCTAGTCGCTTCGAAGCTTGGCCATCGTCAGTCGGACTTGAGCTGCGCCTTGTGCCTTTCAATTGTTGGGGCAGTGGCTGAGTGGTGACGCATGGAACAGGCGCTGGACCTACCCGGGAGCAGTTGTCCGTACGTTGTTCTTGGCTGTTTACATAGCACTTCACAAGTAAGGGTTTATTTCAGTTACACATGAGGAAGATATTTTTTTTCTTTTTTAAAGAGGATGCTGTTGGTAAAATTTTGTGGCTTTGAATGAATTAACCAAGTAATTTTCCCTTGGTGCAAGTGTTCAGTGTTTACGAATGAATGGTTACATGGCGCCACCATGTCGCCAAGTGCCGCCGAACGAGGGGCAGTCAGTCACACGGCGTGGATAATGCATGCTGGAAGTTCGTATTTTTCCATCTCCCAAGAGAGCAGGTAAACACAAAGAATCAATTGAGCAAACCATAATAAATGCGTTTCGAGCACTTCTATCAACTAGACCTGCTCGAAGAACTCGCCACAGCAAAAAGACCTCTACATCTCTCCAGTTTCTCTCACCGATAGTCAACCAGGTATAGCCAACCCCTCATCTCTATCGACAATGACTAGGGACCTGCCAACCAAAGAGGACTTGTTCGTGGAGAACTCTCCCTTCCCCTTGACGGAGCTGGACAAATGGATTCTGGCACAGAAGGATGAAGAGTTCAAGTCGCACGATTGGGAGGGCCTGAGGAAGATTATCGGTGAGCACTCGGTCTTTTCTTCTCGATTTTTCATGGCATTTGGCAACAGTATTATATTAATATCCTTTTCTCTCCTCTTTCTGGAATAGACGCCAACGACCTGGCTGCCTTCAAGCGCACCCCGGCAGACCTGCGCCGCTACATGGTCTGGACTAGAGACATCAAGGCCAAGTACGGGTCCATGACCGCGTACATCCTCGCCAACAGACTGCCCAAAACCTGGGGCTCGGCCCCCTTCACGCCCACCTCCGCGGTGCCGTCTGCCGACTCCTCCGACTACAAGGTCCTCCTCAACGACTGGCCGTACGCCCTGGAGCCCGGCATCACGCACCTCGTCGTCTGGTCGCGCACCCCCATCCCGGTTGACAGCGACAAGGGCGACCTGACGCCCGAGAGCAGAGCCCTGATCCAGGGATTCGTGCAGGAGCACTTTGTCGACGCTCTGGGAGCTGGCGGCAAGGATCAGGTGTTGTGGTTCAAGAACTGGGTGTCGCTGCAGAGCGTGCGAGCACTGGAGCACTTCCACATCCTTGTTCGCGATGTTGACGATGATACTCTGGAGAAGTGGACAGGAGAGCGACCACGCCGCGAGACCCAGGAGTGACTGTCCCTCCATCATTTAGAAATAGAGCCCCTACCCTCAGAATCAAGGTAGACGAAGAAGAAATAGAATGGACGCTTTCCCACTTCTTAAGCAGCCCGTCGGGACCTGCGGTTGCCCTGCGGCGCGGGCGCACCTTGGTCCGCCCCGAGTCCCTGCATCTGAGCCATCTTCTGGCGTCCCATGCCGAACAGCCCAGCGCCGAGGTAGAGGCCGTAGGCGGGCACGACGGCCCACAGGAGCCAGCCCCAGTTGCCAAAGAGCACGACGGACACGAGGGAGGCCCACGTGACCCAGACGACGTCGAACATGTACTCCGTCAGGCCCTGGGCGGAGAGATCCTCTCCCGAGGCCTTGAGGGCCTTGGTGTTGGGGTCATAGCGGGGCCTGCCGGACGTCTCGAGGACGTACTGGCAGACGAAGCTCGGGGCGGAGAGCAGGGCGTAGGCCAGCAGGGAGCGGGAGCGGATGAGGAAGTGAAAGAGGAGGAAGATGGCGTGGACGACGGCGGCGCCGATGTGGAGGTTGGTTAGGGCGGCCGCATTGGACTTTGCGAGCTCCTTCTTTGCCTTTTGCGCCATTGCGGGTGGAGAGAAGTCCAATTGATGCTTTTACGAGGGGGAAGCGGGATGGTGCGATGCGATGCGATGGATGAGAGTGGGAGGGGAGTGAGGTCATGTAATGTGTTATTTCAGTGATATCGGCAATGGGGGCGAGATATTGGTGGGGCAGGCATTTTTCAGGGACCTGCATTCAATCACCATCTGACAGCTGAGCACCGGCTACTACATTAGCTTAGTACCTTACATGTATGGATGCCCGATGCGTGAGGTGATACAAGAAGCCAAATCTCACGAATCCGGGCCTCATTAAGATACTCATCGGGAACACATGTAAATAACACTGTTCGCGATGATGGTGCATAGTGGCGGTCTTCACTGTTAATTAGGTGGGCATCAGCAGAGGCACAGCGCACTCTACGGATGAATAATCGCACGCAGACCAAAGAAGCAAAAAGGTCGCCCACTGCTGCTCTGTTGCTGGGGAGAGCCGGTGGGTTCCCCCTGGAGCCAATCAGACACTCGGCCAGCCAGCCATCTGGACATGTCACAACAATGATGAGATGCATGCGCGCGCTTGCCTTGCGTCCCAGCCACACTGCAATCCGGATCGAAGGCGGCCGTTGTTTCTTTTCTTTTTCTTTCTTTGCCACCGACAAGTGCGTGCAGCGAGAGTCGTTGTCCAGACACGGCTCTTTTTTTCAAGCCTTTACTGTGCTGGAGTAAACAGAGCCCGTGCAGCTGCTCACGGTGTTTTTAGTGGCTCGGTGCCTGGGAACTACACCTGCAGCGTCTGGCGCCACCTGGACTCGCCGCAAACTTGACCTTCCAGTGTCTGTGTACAGGGACTTGAGACCCACATCGATCTTGTTGTGCTGGATTCACGATTGCCCGTCCATCCATCACATCACCGACCTCACGTTCTCCTTCGAACGGCCAGGACCCGTCTCTGTCCTCGTCACGACCCTGCCCTGCACCAAACGACTCCCCAGAGGCACGCCCTTTCTCCCTAATTGTGTTCTCTTCGATATTCTGTTGTTGCTTGTCCCAATTTTCGTATCGCATTCACCCCGTCGTGATTCTGGTGGGGTTGGGAGTGTTTTGTTTTCCTTTGTTAGCCAGGGTGTTGCTGGACGACGACGACGAGCGATCGATCGTTCACAACCTGTCGAGCGCGCAAACTCGGACGCATCGATCATTTCGAGATCATCGACGAGTTAAATCCACATCCCCTTCTGTTCTCACACCAGCGCCGGCACGATAGAGTCCCCCCCGTATCGCGTTGTCCCATGGCCCGACGAATCCAATGAGGCATTGCCATCAACCACCTCTAGACGCAAACCCCCAGGGCGGCCACGGAGAGCCAACATGGCGCCGAATCCCGCTTCCATAAGCAGCCTGCTACGACAGACCATATACTACCACCTGGACCATGCCTCCTTCGAGAACGCCCTGTTCTTCTCCGAGCGATACGTTGCCCAAGACCCCAAGTCCAACGAAGCTGCCCACCTCCTGGCCTTGAGCCACCTACGACTCCGCGACTTCCGATCTGCATATGATGTGTCCAAGCCGGCGGGCTACCGCGCCGTTCACCTCGGCTGCGCCTGGACCTTTGCCCAGGCCTGTCTCGCCTTGGAGAGATATCGAGACGGTGTAACGGCCCTCGAGAAGTCGAAACCCCTGTGGAACCAGCGAAATAACCTGGGGAAGCACTCGCCTACCGCACGATCGCCGACCCCCGATGCGTCGTCGCTCTATTGTCTTCTGGGAAAGCTGTATCGCGGGAATGAGGACAAGAAGAAAGCCATCAGCTGCTTTGAGGAGGCCCTTAAGATGAACCCCTTTCTGTGGGATGCCTTTACAGCCCTCTGCGACATGGGGGTCACAGTTCGTGTGCCCAACATATTCAAATGCTCCGACCAGTTGATGCAAGGTCTCAACTTGGATAACACCAGTTCCTTGGAACCTACCACTACCACCAGCACGTCGGAATTGACGGTCAAGAAGTCCTTGTCACGGCTGGCAAATGGGGAATGGACCGCCGACCCCTTTTCTATGGGAAGCTCTACCAATTCCGACGTCATGGTGACAGACATTGACACGGCTAGCGAACCGACACAATCCGATTTCATGTCCAAGATTCAGGCGGCCAGGTTGAAATACGCCGCGAACTCGACAAACGGCCAGGCGAACGGAGATGTTAACGATACACCCACGATTTCAAGTCTGCATGAAGTCCCTGCTGCTTCTCGCCTCATGGCGCAGCAGCACGAGCCACCCCAAGCGCCACATCGTCGTGTACGCACCGCGCAAGCTATGGATTCTGGCATGGAAGCGCCGCCTCGCATGAACTATAGGTTGGGGGCGAGGAAAGCTGCAACCAGGGAGAAGGATAGAGATGATCACACGCAAAAGTCCATGGGGGACATGGTGTACCAAGAGTCGGAGGGCGCCAGTGACCGGCCGCGAATCGCCGCGCCGTCGGTTGTAGAGCGAAAGAGAACAGTGTCTGGCCACCCCGTACCAAGGTCGACGAACTCGGACGAATCAGGCACACGGCGGAGCGCTAGATTAAACACATTCAAGCCCTCTTCGCTGGCCAATTCCGGCGCGGCGACCATAGGAGGAGCCGCGGGCCGTGAGTTGAAGAAGGCTAGGCCCCACGTTTCTCGCATTGTCCGACCAGGCTCGAGCGGTTCCAACGTTGGTAGAGTAGTCAGTGGAAACCGCAAGCCTATTTTGGATCACAGAGCCGGTGATAATGATCACGGCGAGACGGCGGCAAGGACCAGAGAGGTTGCCCCTCAACCGGTCCCTTCGAAATCGGTCGAGGCTGATAATCAAGCCAAGGTCGAGGAGGCCCTGCGATGGGTCTTGGACTTGATGAAGAAGCTCGGCCACGGGTATTACCATCTGTCGCGATTCCAGTGCGACGATGCCCTCCAGGCCCTGAGCTCTCTACCCGCAGTCCACCAGTCCACGCCTTACGTGCTTGCGCTTATGGGGCGGGCACATTTCGAGCAGGCTGCATATCCCGAGGCTGAGAAGTTCTTCAGAAAAATGCGCGTGCAAGCACCATCGCGCCTCGAGGACATGGAGGTGTACTCGACTATTTTATGGCACCTAAAGCGAGAAACCGACCTTTCGTTCCTGGCGCATGAACTCATTGATTCCGCATGGAATTCCCCACAAGCTTGGTGCGCTCTGGGCAATGCATGGTCGCTTGCCCGGGATCCTGAGCAGGCCTTGCGCTGCTTCAAACGGGCTACTCAGCTAGACCCTAAATTTGCCTATGCGTTTACTTTGCAAGGTCACGAGCACGTGGCAAATGAGGAGTACGACAAGGCTTTGACGGCGTATCGACAAGCTATCGCAGCTGACCGCCGCCATTACAATGCATACTACGGCATTGGAAGGGTGCAGGAACGCCTTGGAGCTTATGACAAGGCCTACGCTCATTTCCATGCCGCCTCCACGATTAACCCCAACAACGCAGTGCTCATCTGCTGTATTGGGACAGTGTTGGAGAGGCAGAACCAGATCGTCCCGGCGCTGCAGGCATATACTAAGGCCGCAGAGCTTGCACCCCGGGCGGCACAAACACGATTCAAGAAGGCTCGTGGGCTCTTGGCCCTGGGTCACATCGACGCTGCACACAAGGAGCTCATGATACTCAAGGATTTGGCTCCAGATGAGGGAACTGTTCATTTCTTGTTGGGCACGTTGTACAGAACAGTGAACGACAAGGCTGAGGCCACCAGACATTTCACCATTGCTCTAGCTCTGGATCCAAAGGTGAGAGAAACCAAACACTACATTTCATCTGGCCTCGAGACAACCCAAACTAACCTTATTTTCTCACACAGGCCGGACCCAAAATCAAAGAAGCTATCGAGGCTTTCGAAGATGATGTACAGATGGATGACTCTATGATGGAATAAAGTCACACACAATAAAACTCCTCCACACAATAGTTCCAACAGCTCGCTCCTGGCTAATTTCCGAAACTAATGTCAGAGAGTGCGGCGAGGTCATGGGATAACGAGACATGAGGAGTCATTGGTCTGGGTCGTACTTTGCAACACTCGGCAGGACAAAACAAACATATGCGCAACGTAATTAATGGCACGGAAGCAGGGGGGCGCGGCAACCGGAATGGATGATACATGTGAGGTGGAAGTCTACTTCCCGTCTGTCCAATGCCTACGGGAAGGTGAGACGAGGCTATCTGCATATCCTGCTGCATGGCGTCAGGCGTTTTGTGAGCAGCGGACCAATCCTGGCAACCTGGGTTACATCCGATGGGAGGGAGGGTAAGGGGCTGGCGTTTGAGGAGCAGGGCTCTTGGTTTTTCTGTTTTTGCTTCTTGTTGTGTTTTTTCTCTTCACCATTCTTGTCACTTGTTAGGATCTGCCCCTTGTTCTTGTCTCCTTCTTAGGGTTGCTTGTACATAGTAGTAGCGAGGCATCTGCAGTAGTGGTGTGTACTAGTTTATGGATGGATGAATCGGACGGGATATAGATGGACGGCAAGTCAGTACCGGGTTTTGGTCAGGGTAGAACAGTGCGTTTGGACATGGCCGAAATGAAAGTTGACTTGCTACCCACACGACGTTGCACGCCCCGTTTCCTGTGTTGACCGGCTCCTAGCAGATTGTATCACCTGTCTCAACGGCACGGCTCTTGGCGGGTGATGTCTAGATCGGTCCCGTCTGCCCACCCGGGCCTTGGTGTCGGGACACGGCGTTGCCAACACAGCCCTGCCCATGCCTCCTCCCGCGACTTCCCCCACGGCGCACCATTCAGAGAGGGAGGATCATGTCCTTGGGTGCTACAGCAGGATTAAGCATGTTTCAACGTCGGGAGGGTACTGGGCATGAGGTGGTTGACTCCGGCGATCTTGGTTGCTTCTGCATCGGCGGAGCACGGCATATATGAGCGAACAGTTTCAACTAACGCATGCTACCGTCCGAAATGAGCACATGGAGCTTGATACGAGGGCCGAGACTGCTCTAGGGACGG